GGGCCATGGAGCCTTTCCCCTTCCTGGCTGTGGTTTCCCCCGAGGCTGCAGCAGGGACTCAGGTGTACAAGCTGCTTGCTGTGGATGCAGATGAAGGGATCCATGGAACTGTGGAATATTTTCTCTTGGAAGGTAAATTTTAACCCTCCCATTCCACGGGTCGTGCCTCACTATTGTGACTTTTTTTATCCTCAGCTTTGTTTTTCCTTCCCCCTGCAAAAGGTTCATAAACCTTCATCCCTGTGTGTGAGAAAAATCAACTTTTAATGATGTATGGACAGATTTCTTTGCAAAGTTGAGTTCCTGCCCATATATATCCCTGGGGATGATGGGGACTGGAGCAGTCAGTGATCCCAAGGCCGTGGCAGTGGGGACTGTATTTACGAGATATTTACTCCTGTATTTACTCCTCCTGTGGAGGAGTAGTTTGTTGGGTGGAGAGGAGGCTTAATGTTCCCATCCCTTGTGGGAGTCATGCTTCTGATTCATTTGCAACAAACTTCTAAAGGTCTGAGGTGTGCAAAGCTTGTACAAATTCAGTGATAGTATTTTGTGTGTCTCCTTTTAAGAAACTTTAATGATAGTTCAAAAGTGTCTGAGCAGATGGGGAGCAGAATTACCTCTCCAGTGGAGTTTTTAATGGTAAGGGATACATGGGGTCAAGCAATAGCAAAGTTTTGGAGGATAAAAGAAAGATGGAGAGAGACTGTTCAGAAGAGCCTGGAGTGACAGGACAAGGGGCAATGGCTTGAAACTGACAGAGAGTGGGTTTAGGTGGGATATTGGGAAGAAATTCCTCTCTGTGAGGGTGGGGTGACCCTGGCACAGGGTGCCCAGAGAAGCTGTGGCTGTCTCTGGATCCCTGGAAGTGTCCAAGGCCAGGTTGGACAGGGCTTGGAGCACCCTGGTCTCGTAGGAGCTGTCCCTGCCCATGGCAGCAGGTGGAATGGGATGAACTTCAAGGTCCCTTCCAATCCAAACCATTTTATAATTCAGTGATAAAGAAGAGTGATAATTGTCCTGAGAATGAAATGGCATTTTGAAATGAAATCATGAATGATGAATGTAATGATTGATTCCTAAGTTCTAAACAAACTTTTGAACCTCAGTGTGCATGTTGATCCTAAGCCAAAGTCGACCTGGGAATTTTGTGGACACATTCCTTTTAGGTGGTGAAGACAGATTTGAAGTGGAGAAGGACACTGGCTGGATTAAAACAACAGGTTTGCCATTGGTGAGGGACAAGGAGTATTTGCTGACTGTGCTGGCAGCAGATAAACTTGGAAGCAGAGGATCCCCAGCCTCTGTCTCTGTAATTGCTGGAGTTCGACCCCCACAGTTCACCAACATGTCCTACTTGGTGTATGTTCCTGAGAGCACCCCACAAGGAGAGCCGTAAGTAACAGCTCCAAATAATGCCCTGGGGTTGTGATCCTGGTTTTCACTTCTGTTTGTTCTCCCCAGAGCCTTGGTATTGTTTGTGAATATCATAAATAAACACTGTGAGAAGCAATTTCGCTCTCTTAATAGAGGTGATCCAGACATAGTTTGGTGATGAATTGTTTTAGTCACTGTTTTACAGGGAAAAGTGATACTGAATGGCTGTGCTTTTTTATTTTTGAAATTATACAGAAAGGGTTAGATGTTGATTGGTTCTGAATTTTCAAACAAAATGCAGAATACAAATGAGTACTGTTACATCATAAAGAAAGATATCCTGTGTGAAAAAATACATCAATTTTACATGTCAAATTTGGAGATGTGCCTTCTCCACCAAGTGAAAATTAGAAAAATCCAGATTCTTTTTCCTGTCTTCATCACAATGACAAACTGAGCTAAAACAAAGATGCCACAGAACTTGTCATTTTATTTCTCCATCCTTTGTATAACCCTGTCAATGGAACTATCACAGAAAATGTTAGTAACAAAAGTCCACTGCAAATACTCAGTCCCTTCTTTTCCAAACTGTTTTGTTCTTACAACAAATATTTTCTCTTCCACTTGAATTGAGAATACTTTTGCCCACTCAATGTGTTTCTTCTGTGGCAGTTCAACTATTATTTGTATTTTATTATCTGTGATGTTAATGTTCACTCTGCAACATTCAGTTTTACAGTGTCTAAATAACGAAGGGCTGTTAAGATTTTTTAAAAAAATATTAGTAGATAACAAGGTTTTTCTTTAAAACTGCAATAAAATTAAATTGCACAGGCATAAAAGAAATGGAATAACTGCAAAGTACTATAATATCGAACAGGTACCTGCTGTCTTGGGTTCAATAATGTTTAGAATTAAAAATAAAACTATTCATAACTTTTTAATCCCTATTAGAAATAGTTTTGCACATCTTAGATGACAGTAGATTAGTCAGTTGATCAGAACTTGGTAATATCCAAAAGGAATGAAGTATTTTGTGTGGTTGTTACATCTGAAAAGGTTTGAATATACACAATGAATGTGTGAAAGATGTTTCTGTAATGCATGGGCCAGAAATAGCCATGAAAATCCATTTAGAATCCTGAAGTTCTCATATTTCAATTGAACCAGTTATCCAGGTGTGGAGGTGTAGTGGCTTTGGTTTGCTGTCGTGTTGTGGATTTTTGGGTTTAGGATTTCCTAATCAGAGCCTGATTTAAGGCTGCTGCTGAGCAGGGGGGAGCATTTCCACATCTTTCCCTTCCTTTGGGCTGCCTGGAACTCCAGTGAGCTACAGCTGCATGGGCAGGCTGAGCCCAGGAGTTACAAAAACAAAAAAGGCAAAAAGAGTTTTCAGTTGGGTTATTAAATGTGCTCCCAGCATGGCCTTGAGATTTTCAGTGCTGGCAGGAGAGGAGAGGTGGCTTGAACATGCAGCCAGGGCAGGGAGCAAAATAATTCCTGCTGGCAGGAATGCAGCCCTACCCTGGCTGAAACTGCCTGAGACCTCAGCACAGGAAAATACAGAAAACTGTATTTTCAGTGAGATAGTGACTTACAGCAGTGTTGTCCATTGGTTCAGTAGGGCACCAGAGGAAAGTGGGACACAGCAGCAAGGGAATGCAGGAGTGGGGAAAAAAGAGTTTGCACAAAATGAGTTTGTGCTTTTTTGACTGTAATTGCCACAGGGTCATGTTGGTGTATTCTTCTAGGAGATGGAATTTTTTCCTAAGAAATTTGCATGTTAAAGCAAGAGAACTTGAGGAATTAGTTTTCTGGTTTAAATCCTTTACAAATATTTAGTTTTAAATTTCTTCTTTTAGTTATTACTGTGGGTGTTTCCACTTGAAGGCTTTAAACACATTGGACTTCGGTGGAAAAAAGATGGTGCCAGATGAGCTAAAAATATATGTTAAGTGTAAGCTGTAACATACACTGCTGTTAGGGCCTGGCTTTTATCCTTTTGCAGTTATCTATTGGAACTTTAGGATGGTGTGACTGCAGCAAACTTACTGGGCTGTTATTAAAACAAATCTTTTTCATCTTGCTTTATCTTTTAGTTTCCTGCCTGAAAACCATCACTGCCATAGAAGGAAGTTGAAGTAGGCAAATTCAGTTGCAGCAAAAATTAAATCCTCTGTTCCTGCATTTTTAATCCTTACTGTGTTCTGCTTCCAAGAATCCTGTCTTTATCTGTTTAACCCCAAGGTGACAGAACCACTGTGTAACAAAATGCTTGAATTTGGTGTTTAGATACAGCTGTCACTGACTGCATTGAGGATACCTCTGAGCAGACCTGCAGGGCTGCACCATCATTTCTGATATGCATTGCTTTTGTCATATTGTTCAGAATGTCGTATTATGTCCTTGAGTCCTCTCTTTTTATTTTTGTTTTAAATGCAGCTTTCTTACAGTCACTGCTGTGTCATATCAGAAGAAATCCCTGAGCTACAGTTTGCTCACTAATCCTGGGGGTCTGTTCAGTATCGATCAGGCAACAGGAGAGATCAGTCTGACTCGGAGTGTGGATTATGAAAGTGACCCCCACCAGCACCTCCTTCTGGTCAGAGCAGAGGAGGATGAGGAGCAGTTCAGCAGTGCTGCTGAGGTAGGTGTTCCCCTCCAGCAGCCTGGGTGCATTTCCATTTTCCTTCATCCTTTTGAATTCTGTGCTGATTCTCCAGGAGCTCCCGTTTCCCCATGCTGGCCATTCTGCTGTCCAACTTAAGAGTTTCTGTCTATGGGGAGATGTTGAGAAGTGGTTTGGGTAGTCTTAGGTTTTACTCTTGCAGATGCTCTAAAGGCTGTTTCTGAGGGTTCAATAAGTCATCCCATCATAGATCCTAGGTTTTATCTGGTAACACATCGAAATGGATGTGGCCAAGCCAGACATGAGGTTTTGTCTTACTCTATTTTCATCAAGTATGAGGTGCATTTGAGATTATTCCACTCTAAAACAAAGGCAGGACAAAGAATTACTTGTTTTATATCAAGAACACAAAGTGAACTCATAAAACAAGAAAGTAATAAGAATTCAATGATACTAAAAGCTGATGGTTTGTGGTATTTTAGAAAGCTGTTTGACAGCAAAAATATTTCTTATTATAGTTATTACAGTTATTTGAATTCCGAGATTCACTGAGCTAGGAAAAGCATGCTATGAGTTTGTTCCTGCTGCAGGAAATAAGGGAACTGGAGACAGAATTATTAGGATCAAGTGTGAGGACACAGACAGGAAGCAATATGCCAGTGTAACAAACTCTGGCTGTAGCACCCCAGAGCCCAATAGTTTCTGTTGACCCTCGTGTACTACAAGATGAAGAATGGTAAAATATGAATCAGAAGAGGATTATGAGATGATTTTACAAATATATTTAGCCTAGAGGTAGTTTAACCTGTACCTGCTTTGCACTGATACAACCTCAATAGCTTAGAGAGCAGGTCATGCTCTGGTTCATGCATGTCTGCTCTGCAAGGCTCATGGAATTCACCTCTGCCTGGTGCTCTGTAATGCAGAATGCCTCCATAACTGCATGAGGTGCAGCAGGATGAGCCACCAGAAAG